GTGGCCGGGCCGCCCCGCGGGGTGAAGAGGGGCAGAGAGCAGGGGCAGAGCAGGGGGCGGGAGGGGTGCGGGGAGTATCGCTCTAAACTGCTTTATCGTGTTCGCAGGAAGCCACGGGCATGTACTTGTATGTATAATGTATGCGCCGCAGTGGGAAAGGGGGGGGGGAGGGGATGCGGGAGCGGGCGGCGGTCGCAAATGAAATAATGAAGGCAGTTTAAAGACTGTGTCACTGCTCTCAGGCGTATATACCAATCAAACCGTCATCACAAAATTGGTTCCTTCTCCCTCGCTCCTGTCGTCATGCACCCGCTTCTTTTCTGATTATTTTTCGGTGAGGGTATCATCATAAACAGGACCGAGAGGAAAGCTGATTTCGAAAAGGCGGCCCGCCGCCTTCTCAGACTCACCGACTCACCGCTTCTTTTCTGGCAGTCAGATGTAACCCGACAGTTAAGAGGCAGTTCCGTGACCGACAAACCCAGACGAAAAATTACAACGTTCCGACGCGGCAGACGTGTTATTGATCTCCCATACGAACGGTAGCCGACGCCGCCGGTCGCAATAATTGAAACATCGTCAAGTGTTTAGCTCATCGGCCGTGGAATTGGAAATTAAATATTGAAGGAAATGATCGATTCCTCCTAACCTCAAAGTGCACATGTTGACTGGCTCGTTTTACTAAAGTGTGCCAACCTGACGAAGCTGATATATCTAAGTTTCGGAAAGCCCCATCAAGGGATTCGGCCGATGAAATGAATCTGTTACAACACGTAAACTGTAAGGGAGAGGCCGCTGTATTGGCCTAAAACACAAATTGCTCACTTTCGTCCAAAGAAGTTATTCCCCAGCCTCGCCTCTGCTCGACACTTACGCAATCCATTAACATCCATTATTAATCGTTAAAGGGGTGCCTGACCAATTGTTACCAAAAGGCCGACAGCGGTGACGCTCATCGGTGACAACAATGCCTATGGTCCACGTGCCTGCGGCAGGCTCATGGTCAACAATGAGGTCCCTGCGGCGGCGGCCAAGGGGGAGGGGGAGGGAGCTGGGGCACCAATAATTCGGAACGAAGAGGCAACGCGGGCACCGCGGTTCGAATGGTGCGTTTCCTCGTGTAACCCCCATCCACCAATCACCGCGATCTAAATTACCCGCAGCCCTCGCTGCGCTACCCGGCGCTACCCGGTGTCACCCGCACTCTGATCGCGCAGGTGACCTGTCGGTTGAAAGTATAGGGGCGACTTTTCCCGACAGTTTTGGGAGAATATCCCTCCGCTGTGCTTCGGAAGAGCTAGCCGGTGGCTGGGTATTGGAAGTAGCTTCAGGGAAATTGTAAAAGTAAAAACCCCACCCCAAACCTATTTTGCTCGCACGATCCAAGAGGCGCATGTGCACGCCGTGGTCCTCAACAGGTGGACTTACCCCTGACTGGAACGGCGGGCACTCTGACGGGGGGCACCGTGGGCACGCCCCCGAGGGGGCCTCCGAGCGGCAGGCCGGCCGGGAGCACGAGGGGGCCCACCAGCCCGTTGAGGGGCTCGCGGAAGGCCGAGCGGCCCACGACCGGCGGCAGCGGGGGCGTCGGGGGCGACGACGGCGAGGTGTCGCGGCTGCGCGTCGTCAGGTTGAGGGGCTCGTCCAGGGGCTCGGACCTGGCCTC